CAAACACACACACAGGCTCCAGAGCCCTTTCACTGACTGACACACACATACATAGATAGCTTCAGAACGGTCTGTTGGTCTTCCACTTCCCTGCCTTTACTGAGAAAACCAGGGAGTGGCACAACAAGCTGCCCACCAAACAGAGGACGTGGATTCCTAGCCACTTGAGGGAAGAGGTGATGAGAAAAACTTGGGTATTTTCCCTCCAGACCAAGGATGATTTTTCAAGGGGCAGGATACAGCATGTCCATATTAGGCAGCAGAGAAGCATGGTGTGCTCCGTTTCCATCAGCAATGGGCATGGGAATATTCAAAGTAAGCAAGATGAAGTTTACTTCAAGCAGCAAAACTTGGGTGTCCATCACTGCCCTGAAGGTTGGGAGGGGTCAGGGTTCCCAGCAGGCAACTGGACAGTCTCAAGAGTGTATGACACGGCCTCTCTCAGTAAGGCAGTGGGACACCGTACCTCACAAGGGAAGAACTGAGACACTAATGACAGTCGGCAGCTGTCTGCTCTGTACTGTACAAGACCGCACCAAGGTGCCTTGCACTCTCAGGGGGCAGACCTAAACAAGAATTCACCAAATGCACAAATACTATGGCTACAAGTCCCTTCAGAATCCTAGCTCTTCAACGAGCAAAAGTGATAGATGTGTGGAAGAAGTATATTCCCAGGAGAGATTCAGAAGAGCCATCAGACACTGAGGCTGAGAGGGTCCATAAATACCAAGAGGCAGAGGCAGAGAGAGAGAGAGAGAGAGACACCAGGCTGAGGAAAGAAGGTTCTCCTTTAATAAGCTTTGCCACTCTCAGAAATCACCAACATTCCCTTCTAGCCAATAAATTACTACCAACCAAGAAAAGGAAGTTAATGAAAACTAAATCAAATACTAAACTGTACTCTTCAAAGGGAGGGGGATGCCAGAAATACCATGACATGAACTAAGACCTTCACTCCTGCTAATGATTTTACGTCAAAGACAGGTGCACCATTACTCCTGAGATGAGTAACTACATAAAACTTCCAAAAACAAAGTATTTCCTCCCAGCTGTAATCTGCAGGCAGCCAGACAGTGCATTTTACTGAGAACAGGGGGAGGTTACAAAGCCAGCACACCTCATAAAGAGAAGGTTTCATTCTCCAGCAGCAGAACCCAGATTCCCGCTGTCACAAGGTACAAGGGTACGGCATTTGTGAATAGGGTTTTCCTTTACTCCGTGTCCTGGGAATGCACAACTCTTGCTCTGCAGGCCTACGGCTTACTGTAAAAAAAGGTACGCAAGACTCAAGGATCATTCCCCTTCTATCATTCCACTTGCATCTCTGGGCCTTGGCAGAGAAGCAGGCAGGGCTGGAAGGCTGCTACTGAGCAGAATAAGTAGTCCTGCAACGTAAAAACTGAAAAATGCACATGCACCACACTAAAGGCCCAAGAACACTACTGAGTGAAGAGCTATCCAAGCTTCAGCATTTCCTGCTGAATAATCATGTCACTGGGTGCACCAACTGGTGAAAACGTATTACTAAAAGCAGCATGAAGAGTGTTCTCACTAAGGAAGAGAGCTTACGTCCATTACCGCCCATCCATATAATTCGGGTAACAACCTGACTGTGGGTCAGTCGCATGGTTGGGGGTAGTTTTGTTTTGCCTAGCCAAAACCTACCAGACACTGGAGGCACAGAACAGAACATATGGGCTGTGCTGGACTACTAGCTTCTGGTGCCACATAGTCTAGTACACTCCACCATCCTGTGCATGCTCAACAGTTTCTATGGGTGGATCTACAATTCTGAACAGAGCTAAATAATCAGCTAAACAGCTAAAGAGAGTCTGAGCAAAAGAGCTATGAGTGAGAGTGAGAGCTGCTAGCAGACAGTAAAACTGCCCTAAGGAAGGGCACCTTGGTTAGTGGAACGTTCAAGACCATTAAAAAGGAGACAATCTTAACACCTGTAGAATGAAGAACAATGAATCATGAAGTCAACTGACTCCCTCAGCTGTCTGAACCATACCATAGTTGCTGCACTGTAAAGCAGGAATCAAACTCAAGTACTTCCAACCCTGTGCAGAAAATTAGCTTCCTTGCTTAATTCATGCACCCCAATCTTGGGGGATGCTTTTTTTGAGGAAAAGGCGCATGTTGTATGCGAGAAAATATGATAATTGGGATCATTCAAAAGGCCATGGTAAATGGATTTTAAGACAACAAAGTAAAGCGCTAAAGCATAAGGACTTGAAAGTGTTAAAGTCAATACACCCTTAGCTGTGCCCTAATATAGGTAGTTATTACAATACAGTATTTAACTTCATGATTATATAAATCCGAGCAAGCCAATCACCTGTTCAAATGAGCAGAATGGGAAGTAAACAGTTAACAAAGTAATTCTCAGTTGTCTCTTTCCCCATAAACTGCACATCAAACAATCTCTGTGCCAGAGGAGATAAAGAACCTCTGCAGGATACGCTAGGAAATCTGGTAGTCACACCAGACGACAAAGCTAACCTCTTTAACAATTTCTTTGCCTCCATCTTTTTGAGCAAGGACCAGGGCATCCCCCACACTGGGATCCCTGATGGACCCAGGGGAGGCACTGCCAGGCCCAGGGTCAGTGAGGACCTAGTCAGGGAACTTCTGGTGGGTCTAAATGTGTTCAAGTCAGCAGGTCCTGACAATCTCCACCCCAGAGTGCTGAGGGAATTAGCAGAGGGCATTGTGGGAGCCCTGGCACGGCTTTACGAGCACTCGTGGTGCTCTGGCGAGGTGCCGGAGGACTGGTAAAGGGCCAATGTGGTCCCCATTTTCAAAAAAAGGGAGAAAGGAGGACCCAGGAAACTACAGGCCCGTTAGTCTTACCTCAGTGCTGGGGAAGCTCTTTGAGAAAATTATCCAGGAGCACATCTGCGAGGGACCAGAAGGGGAGATGATCATGCTTAGGGGCAACCAACATGGGTTCATTCAAGGCAGGTCCTGTCAGACCAACCTGGTTGCCTTCTACGACCAAGTCACAAAATCATTGGATGCAGGTGTCACAGTGGACATATTCTTTCTGGACTTTAGGAAGGCCTTTGACACCATCTCTCACCCCATTCTCATAAAGAAATTAGGCGACTGTGGCGTTGATGCCTGCAGTCAGATGGGTCGCAAATTGGCTAGAGGGCCGCACCCAGAGTGTGGTGGTGGACGGGTCTTTTTTGACCAGGAGGGATGTGGGCACTGGGGTCCCCCAGGGCTCGGTCCTCAGGCCCGCACTGTTTAACATCTTCATCAGTGACTTGGATGAGGGGGTGAAAAACACCTTATTCAAAACTTGCAGATGACATTAAAATGTGGGGAGAAGTGGGAACGCTGGAGGAGAGGGACAGGCTGCAACTAGATCTGGACAGGTTACAGGGGTGGGCGGATGAGAACAGGATGGGATTCAATACTGACAAGTGCAAGGTGCTGCACCTGAGGAAGAAGAGCCAGCAGCATACCTACAGGCTGGGGAACTCCCTTCTAGTCAGCATAGAGGCGGAAAAGGATCTTGGTGTCACTACTGATTCCAAAATGAACTTGAGCCACCAATGTGGGGACGCAATCAGTAAGGCTAACCGCACCTTGTCATGCATCCACACACGCATCACGAGCAGGTCCAAGGAAGTGATCCTCCCCCTCTATGCAGCACTGGTCAGGCCCCAGCTGGAGTACTGCGTCCAGTTCTGGGCGCCGCACTTCAGGAGGGGTGTGGACAACGTGGAGAGGGTCCAAAGGAGGCCACCTGCATGATCTGGGCACAGCGGGGCAGACCCTATGAGGAGAGGCTAGGGGACCTGAACCTGCTCAGCCTCCACAAGAGAAGGCAGAGGGGGGATGTGGTGGCCATCTACAAACTGGCCAAGGGGGACCAACAGGCTATGGGAGAGTCCCTGTCCCCCCCAAGCACTACCAGGAGTAACGAAGAATAACGGCTGTAAATTGACCGACAGCAGATTCAGGCTAGACATCAGGAGGCGCTACTTCATGGCCAGGGCAGCTAGGATCTGGAACCAACCTCCAAGGGAAGTGGTGCTGGCTCCTACCCTGGGGGTCTTCAAAAAGGAGGCTGGATGAACACCTAGCCAGGGTCATTTGACCCCAGCATCCTTTCCTGCCCATGGCAGGGGGTCGGCCTTGATGATCTGCTCAGGTCCCTTCCGACCCTACCTACTATGAAACTGCGAAACTCTGCCTTATCCCCAAGGCAGTTCTTGCTCATTCACTCCGCACCACCCAGTTTCTGAAATGGCTCTTTTGGAAAATTCACAGTATGAAGTTTTTGTAATTAGACATTAATGCAAAGCATAAACACAAGGAGGGTGAGGGGAAGATCAGCATGTGGACAGTCTATCTTACCCTTTGCAATTCCAAACTTGAGTCCATGATCTTTAAATGAAACATTTGGAGACTTTTAGTTTTAAAAAATAAAACTAGAAAAATGTGGCTATGCAGGACACTGCATATTGTAGAGAGTTAATTGTTTTGTTCTATCCAGTACACTACAGACTGGGACAGCAATCCTTCAAAGCCCAGTCTTTTTCCAAACAACGTTTTACACAAATTTCTCTTCGCTTCTTTACAGTCCCAGGGTCTGTAAAATGGTTAAATAGTTGGATCCTCTCCAAAGACTTCCACTGAAATACATGCACTTTCATATAATGCTAGTGGAACACTGGCAGGTTAGGAATTGATAAAAGGCAATAGAGTATGTTTTTTTAAATCTTAAAGCTTCAGCCAAATCAAAATGTATTTTCACCAGACTATGAAACGGTTTACGACAGATGCAACAATGGCATACTTATCAAAAGATACCAGAGCAAGCGGTTATGATGCAACTCTGATTCTGCAGTGAAACAAGTGTAGCAAAACCATTCCGACTTTAACCCTCCTTAATTTAAGCAGGTTCATACAGTTGTAACCGTACATAATAGAAGCACTTGTTAACAACAGAGCAGGAACTCTCCCTCCCCTTTTAAAAAAAAAAAAAGCTAAAATTAATGTTTCTCCACAACCTGTCTCATTAAATCACTGTTTCTGACAAGTTCCTTCCACTGTCTGCCATAGAACCTGGACCCAATTTTGAAAAATCAAAGCTTTAAGGGCAAAAATGTCTTCCCTAGCTCCTGTCCCAAAAGCAGCTGAGCTTTCCAGAAAGTCTGTTTCTAGATGAAGGAGAAATGTGTAGAATTTCAGCCCGAGATGACACTTCTATTGTTATGAGCAACTTAAGAACGGTTCAGTAGACGGAAAATGTAACTGCAATCTGGATATCAGGGAAGTTCTAGACCCTGCCTACAACAAAACAACAGGGTTTTTAGACAGAATATTCTGTCCTAGTTCTAGAAGTGTGATAGCAAGATACAGAGATTTGGAAGGAAGTCCTACACCTTGACTACAACAGAGCATGGTTCTTAAATAAGGAGAAGCAGCCAGGAAGATCAGACTCCTTTGGCAGCTATTCTCAATAGAAACCAAGGTCTCCAAGTCTCTCTCTTAAGATAGCAGTTGTGCATATGAATACTTACCTTGGCATCAAGGATGCTCCCTCAGTCACTGCTGAGGAGATCATAGAAGCTAGCAAGATGAGGGGTGCTACTTCCTCTAAGAAATTCCCACCATCATAAATCTGAATGGAACTAGTAATAGGTAAAGGGTAGCATGTGTTCTCACTCAAAAGGGAAAAATCCTCTAACCTATTCTGAGGGGTTAGGATCCAGCATAGTTTGGACTGACTCACCTCAAAGTCTTTCTATGTGAGGATTACTGAAGTGTGACTCCCACATTACATATCCCATATCCACATGTTTTTTTGACTCGACTCTTACATGCTGCTCAGGTCCCAGGTTGATGGAAATGGCACATGGTCAGATAGACGAGAAGTTGTTCTCAAGGGCTGGAATGGGATGCAGCAGAAGGATTGATCAATCCTGATACTGTGCTCCCCTCGACCCCCCCCCCCCCAA